GTGGTTTTATTGAGTCGAATAGCTCGTGCCTCCAAATAGTTATTGAAGAGGGCTCGAAACGATCCATTCTCTTGCACTTGAGCGTCCTCGTCACTACCTTCAACGCAGTCCGCCTCTCCTTCTGGCATGCCATCAATGAGTTCGGTCACTTTGATTCTGACATTGTCGCATTCTTCAGTGGCGGTTTGAAGCATGAGCTGAACTGCCTCCTTTTGAAAATCGAGAACTAATTTCCTCATGTCTCGATGCGCATTGTCTATTTGCGCAGGGGACAGGGCTTGCTCGTCGATTCGGTAATGAAAATCAAATTTTGGAACTGATTTCGGTACCATATCGAACTCGACCTGTTTCGCTAACACTTTCATATTTTTCTCTTTTATATGAAGGACTTCGAATTTCGGTTTCACCACAGCAGCATGCGTCTTTTGATGCGCGGTTGCTCGGTTCTCAAACAATTGCAGGGCAGTGTATTCAGCTTGTTCAGCCACTGCAATCGCGACACGAGTAGCACATTTCTTGGCTACATAATGAGTCTGAACCTGAATGTATTTACGAAGAATTTCGTCAGCAAACAAAACCTGGCCCGTGACGGTCTGCTCCGGTTGCGATTGTGCAACACCGGCGCTCGACGATCGGGATGTTTGCGCAGGCAACATTGCTGGTGCGAAAGCCGCTAACTCTCCTTGCGAACGAGTCACCTCGTTGCTAGCGGTCAGAATACTTTTTTGGAGTCTGGTCATTTGAGTGACACAAAACTCTTTATTGATTCGGGAGTCGCGCGTCTTTGTTCGCTTGACAATCTCCTGCGCCCAATGTATGTGACCCGAATCGGTATCAGAACCTAGCTTCAAAAACTTTTGCCAGACTTGATACTCATACTGGTCACACACCCATTTGTCGAGAAACGGCGCCGCCTCAACACAATATCTAATAACATGTCGGGCAACAGCGTTCTTATTTCGTTCGGCTAATGTATTCAAATGAGCACGAATACGAACGGGCTCTAAATAAGGCCGATTTTTGAATTTTTTATCATCATCGCAAAGGGGCCCCACTTTCGATAAGGGCTCCTGTCCCTTGTCTTCGTCTTCCGCCACAAAACGACGGGGTTGTTTTTTCTGCTTTCTAGCAGGGCGATTAGGAACTGCGGGCATATTCACTGCCGTTGTCTGCTCCTGATTTCGATCAACGACGTTATCGTTTTGACCGTCGAATTCAGCTAGAGCGACAAACCGATTATTGCTCAACAACAAGTTTTCATTCGTCGCCTGAGCAGCTTGAAATCTATTTCTATTTCTATATCGACGTTGACGTCTAAAGAAACTTTGTGTCTG